TTGAACCAGCTTCGGCTATTTTGAGCCGCTTTCACGGCCCGTGGAGCATCGAAGGCCCCCTTGGAGCCAGTTGCCAGTTGCCAGTTAATCACTCTTCATCGGATCCAGTTGCCAGTCCAGCTGTTCCCTCGAAGGATTCCCGCGAGTTGCCTCCCAACCCGCGGGGGGAGGGGGTCGAGTTCTCTGGTCGTGATTTTTTTGCAACGTTGTGCGGGCTTCCGTCTGCGACCACTTGCGAGCCCTGTTCCTCTGCTGGTCCAGCCAGTGTCGACGCCGGGTTACCAGACATCCCCGCAGGGGGTCGGTTTCTGAGCCCCAGCTGGCCGGCGTTTCGGAAATGTGGCCTGCAGGAGCAGTGTTCAATGGCGTTGGACGAAATTTCGATCGATCGAAATCATATGTTCTGGACGGCGATCAACGGAGAGGAAGCATGTGGCCACATGATTCCCATTGTCTTAAAATCATTCAAAAAGGTCTCAAACCTGTAAGAGCATGTTTCGATCATGTTTAGAACATGTTTCAAACATTGTAAAGACATTTTTAATTCAGTGATAGGACTGTTAGGTTGTCCATTGCCATGGCATCCACAAATCGTATGGGGGGCGCCGTCGTCTGCGCTTCGGAGGAACTCGCCCGCCTCGGCCAGATCTGGGAGCGCAGAGGGGCCCTCCATCTCGGGAGGGAGCAGAAACGCACAGAGACGTAAAGAATCGTCGATGCCCTGAATCGGGAGTGCAGGGGCAGTGGGAGGGAAGGCGCAGACCCAGACCATACGGAACAGAGGGCGGAGTCCTGGGACTTTCGCCTGGTGTGTTTGTGCGCCCCCGGGGCGCCTTCACAAGCCCCTGTACTGTTCCCCGCCCTGGCCTCCTCTGCGAACAGCGCTGGCGCCGAACCGCCATCGGGGAAACGTGAGACTCGAGTAAGCCGGACCTCGGGTCTGCCGATTTTTTTTTTTTGACGAGCGTTGACGGTCCTGTTTTCGTGACATGTGTGCAGCGGGAGATCGCGCCAGATTTCAGATTGGGCCTCGTCCGGGGCGGACCGATTTCGCGGGCCGTGTTCGTTTCGACTTCGTGTTTTGCGGTAGAGGCGGCCTGAAGACGGAACGAGGGAGATCGAACACAAGACGGAAACGAAACGCGCCGTTTAGGTTCAGCCCGGGGCCTCGTCCTTTGTCAGGATGGCCCCGGCAGGGGCCCCCCCGGGTCCCCCCCGCACCCGAGCCTCATTCGCCCTCCCGGAAGCGAGGGCCGCGCGCACATGTCTCAGGAGGGAAAGAAACACACAGACACAATTCATCGTCGACTCCCAGGAAAATATGGGAAACTATGGGAAGTGGGGGGGAAGACAAACTCCAGAAAATATCAGAAAAAATAAGGAATCCTGTTACTTGTGTCTATCTATTTGTGTGTCCCAGGGCCCCTTCAATGTCGCCATGGGGCGACCGGGTCCTGTGGGAAGCGGGTCCTGAGGTTTCCCGCCGTTCCCTGGCCTTGGGGACCCCCACGGGCCCCGGGACTATCAGAGAGCGGCTCAGGCCGAAGACCTCGTCCTTGGGGGGAAGGCCCCGTGGGTCCAGGGCCCGTTTTGCCCCGGAGACCCGCCTCCCCCACGCTGGCGAAACGTGTGGCTGCCTCCTCGGATGTAGGGCGGGCGCCTTCTTAGAAGCGGCCTCTTTGCCAGAAGCCTTCACCTCTCCCCCTGCCCCCTGGTGCGCGCTACCAAAAGTTTTGGTGCGTCGGATCTCTGGGTCTGGCCCCGTTCCCCAGTGGTGTGACAGGGGGAGGCGGGCTGCCCATCGCGCTTCTTCGCGCGGGCGCGTGGGGCAATCTACTTCAAGCGCCCTCCTACGTCAAGGAAAGCTTATGATCCTCTGGGCGGGGCCTCTTCGGGCCGGGCCCGAACCCGAGCCATTTTCTACTTCATGGTTCTACCTGCTTTTTCCGACTGGCGGGCAGGTCTGCTCGGGGGCAGCGTCGCAGTCTGGACTCCGAATCGAGGAGCAAAGCCGAAGATAAAACGTTCGGAGTTCCGCGCGAATTTCTTGGATCTGCGCTGGCCCCCCCCTGGCGCTGCGCCTGGTGCGCTCCGCGCGCTCGGGAGGAGGTTCTGGCGCGGGTCCAAGACATTCGCGCCGATTGTCGAGCAGGTATGTCTATGTTGTGTTCTGTTCTTCACCGAAGCAAGGACCACTTGGGGCTCAAGAGGGGCTCAAGAGGGCATCTGGTTTGCCGGCTGCTCCTTGTGTCTGCAGGTCGGGGAGCGGGAAACCGACTCGTGGCCGGGGCTCGCGGCGTGGCCAGAAACAAAGCCATGCGTTCCCTCACCAGCGTTCCGTATGTGAGCGCGACGACTGCAGGGGGGGACAGGCTCAGCGGGGGATGCATCGGCCCCCAGTCGCCCATTGACAGGCGACGGGCCTGATTGCCCACCCCGCCCAGGAGCGTGCGGATTCGCCATATGGGCATATCGCCGATCTGTCGGCAATGAGTCGCAG